GGTTTTAAATTCAACCGATCCTATGTTCCTTGATTAATGGTAAGAAACAGGATTTTAGAGCTCACCGTAAAATCCCTTTCTTGGAGTTCATCAAGAGACACAGGTCCGCCCCTCTGTGGTGTGTTCTACTACTGAAACCTTTCTAAAAACTATAGCATCATAGGATTGAGAGGTTTTTATACTTGACTGGCCAATGGCTTTTTTGTTTGACAATGTCCAATTCCTTCTATAGATGACAGTAAGCCCTGGTTCACACTGATGCGGTTTCTGTGCGATTTCCCCAATGCATTATAATTGCACCCCGTTCATGCGCTGCGGGTGTGTATCTTAAGTTAACAACATTCCAAGACCGGGTTCGCAAAATGCGGTGCAATATGCAGAATCGGATCACATGGGAGTGTACATGCATGCAATCTGATTCTGGTGCAGACAAAAAAAGGGTCCTGCACTATTTTGGTGTGCATGCAGTGTGATTTGAGCCATACAAAATGTATGGCTCAAATTTCATCACACAAAAATCACACTGATGCGGTTTCTGTGCGATTTCCCCAATGCATTATAATTGCACCCCGTTCATGCGCTGCGGGTGTGTATCTTAAGTTAACAACATTCCAAGACCGGTTCGCAAAATGCGGTGCAATATGCAGAATCGGATCACATGGGAGTGTACATGCATGCAATCTGATTCTGGTGCAGACAAAAAAAGGGTCCTGCACTATTTTGGTGTGCATGCAGTGTGATTTGAGCCATACAAAATGTATGGCTCAAATTTCATCACACAAAAATCACGTGATTTGTACAGGAATGCTGTGCTTTTCCTCAGCAAATCACATGCGTTGTGCCGCACCGCATCAGTATGAAACAGGGCGAATGGTTTCAGTTTTAAAGAATATTTAAACCCACATTTCATATTTCTGATATGTACCTGCTGTACCATGTACTTGTATGAAAAAGTATCCTTTTGTATTGCTTCCTTTGTGTGAAAATCCCTGGTGTTCCTGCCAGTTCCTCTGCTTACCTTTTTAAAATTGACCACATTAGGCAGAAGAGCCGAAAGCAGAATGACAGAGAGATGAGCTCATTACTGTGTTGCTTCTTCCTTAAAGCGGAGTTCCAACTGAAAAAAAATTAAGTCAGCAGCTACAAAAAATGTAGCTACTGACTCTTAGGGCTCATGTACACTGCAGCTGATAAACTCACGTTTAGGAGCTGTTCGGCGTTTTTTTTTTCAGCAGCCCCTGAACTCACCATAATGTTTTCCTATGTGTCCATGTACACATCGTCGTTTACAGTAGTTTACAGGTATTAGAGTTTACAATCGTTTTTTCAACGCAGAAAACTTGCATTCAGCAGTTGATTTTATTAGCGTTTCAAACGCAAAATGCTTGTAAATGCAGCTTAACACGGTAAATCGCGTTTATAAGCGTTTGCTTTTGAAAAATTTTTTTAACTCTTCCAGTTCTTGATGCTGTCCAGAGACTTTTTTCATCATGAAAAATGCATGCAAAGCGTTTTCAAGGTACTCAGATGGACAAAACACTGAAAACAGGATGTTCCTACCAAGCTTGTCACACATTGTAATGACCAATTCACACTTCAGACCTCTCCCACCCTTGGAAACAAAAGATATGTTAATGACCATTCACACCTCAAATTCCTCCTGAAGACCCCCTGCCAGGTGACCTTAAGGACTCACTCCACCAGCCACCTTTCTCACCCTTGGAAACAAAAGAAATGTTAATGAGCAACAAACAGCTCTACCTGCACCACAGATGTGGAAATATTTTATTCCACAGCCCAGCTGATCAAAATTAGTATCAATTAAAATAATTGCACCTAGTGACCTGAAAACTTGTAATCAAAGGTTAAACAGCACTATGGATGTGATTAAAAATTTTTTTTATAACATTATAATTGTGAACCACTGAGTAGTGTTACTTTTTTTTTCTCTGCAATAATTCAATATCAAATGTATACTCCAAAACATTTGAATATGTAACAAAAAAGGTTCCCAAAGAATAATGATAAATTCTTCACTGTGCACGTGCTTGCTCAATCAAATCCACTGTGCTCCAAACGTGTCCATGCCATATGCCCCATTTAAGGTAAAGATTCACCAAAGCTTTTTGCTTTTGTGAAGTCCCAGTGGTTTTAAATTCAACCGATCCTATGTTCCTTGATTAATGGTAAGAAACAGGAGTGCCAGGTGACCTTAAGGACTCACTCCACCAGCCACCTTTCTCACCCTTGGAAACAAAAGAAATGTTAATGAGCAACTCACACCTAAGCTAATTTCAACACATACTGCTCTCTGCTTCTACTCTCTGTATTTCTCTGAAACAGTCTGAAATAGTTAATAATGTACCACTTTTCAGTGCATTCTGGGCGTTTGGGAGGTTCTCCTGTGTTTATCTTTAAAAAACGCTTCTAAATGCAAACGCACATAAACGTGCTTAAATGCGTTATGCAAACACGGCTATACAGATGTTTTTTAACCTACATTTTCCAGCTGTCAGTTTCCATTGTTCAGAAGTGTCCCGTGTACATGGGGCCTTAAAATAGACACTCACCTGTCCCTCAGTCCAGTGTTGTCCTCACCACCGCTGGTTTCACCAGCCATCATCTCTCCCTGGTGCTGGCATCTTCAGTGTGGGCACCAGGCTGTGACAGCTTGCGGCTTCACAGCCGGGTGCCCACTGCACATGCTCGAGAAGCATGCACTTTGTGAATGGCCCCATAGTCATCTGGGACCTGTCACGTGTCCCAGAAGACTACGGGGAGGGAGGGCAACTTCTGCTTCTGATCGCCTAGGTGATCGCAGCGGAAATGGGAGCTGGTACCTTTCAAAGTCGGGTACCCCCCTGCTCCCCAAAGGTGCCAATCCTTAATGGGAAGCGGAGGACAGAGGCTTAAAGCGGAACTTCCCCTTTTGGGTGGAGCTCTGCTTTAACTGTCCAGACACAGGTTGCGGAGGGTCCATGAGAGACTGGGCTTGGGGATAGTGGGTTGAAAAGTCATTACCATCAGACCATGAACATTGAAGATAAATGTTGCTGCAAACCTGTTCATTATGTTTATCTTTTAGTCTTCATTTTATTTAATGTTTAAGGGTTTCATTTAATTCAAATTCATTTTTATATTGTTATGTTGTGTTTGGTTGGAGTTCTAAGTCCCTCTAATTAATTAATTTATATATATATATATATATATATATATATATATATATATATATATATATAAAATTAGATTTAGATCCTTCGTTTTCTCCATTAAAAACGTATGCTCTCTTGCGTTATTAATTCACAGTTTTTTTATTATAACACTATACACGGAGAACTTAACCGAGTAACCTGTAAAAAGTATTTTGTTCTTGCTACTAATTCTTAACTCCTATAGGATCTGTGCTAGATTTAAATCCATGTAAATACCTCAACTTCAACTTTTTTTTCTCTTGCAAAACAGAATTGTATTTCCCAAACATGGCATGAAAAATAATCATCCAATAATGCTAAACCTCCTGTGGTCCAATTAAAGAACTTAATTGATAGCCTGGGCTTCTGAGATTCCAAGACACACATCAGAATATCTCCATAAAACTCTAATGATGGGGTTACGTTATTACCTCTGACTAGACTGAAAGACAGAAAATAACTGTTCTGTACAGCAGTAACAAGAGCTTGTCACGACTTGTACTGTCATTAAAGGGCTAGTCAATCTAAATTACAAGTTTGCTAGTGTAAAAAGTACATTATTACTGACATTAAGAAATATATATTTGAACATTTCCTGAGCTTTGCAGCTGTGCAGACATTCAATTTTTGTGGTATATGTCTCCTAGATGTTTCAAGAAACCTGCATGTATTAAATAAAAAAAACCCAGGAAGATGATGGGTGCAGAATGTGTGGCTATTTTTTAGCCTATGAGGTTGATTGGGGACCAGGTTTCTGCAACCTCTGCAACCGCACACTGATGACATCAAACATTCAAATGGTTTTAATAGACAAGCAGGTAAATGACTGCGGAAAATCCTTCCGTCTCTGGCCACATCTCCAACACGTTTCACCCTTGCCAGGGCTTATTCAGGGAGGTCAGAATTGCAGGTCCCCACAAATTGTTCCTTTGCTTGCAGAAGATTCAGATATCTGTTGGAATCATCCAAAGCCTCCCCACTCAGCATACCCTTTGTAGAGGCATCTAAAACACAAGTGACATAGTGCCATCATAGAGCTTGCTGTGTTGCTTCCACCATCTTGTATAAAGTGACTCTTAGGTGCTGGGTTTTAATGAGTGGGCAAAACTTCCAGCACTCATTGGTAGTGTTGAAACTTGGTCGACCCTTCACACATCTCACACCCCAGACATTCCTATTGGCCAGTGAAGCAACCAATCATAGTGATGGGCCAATAGGAATGTACAGGGGAAAGTATTAGACAAGCTACGACATATCAAGAGGTGTTGATGCTATTTGGGTGGAGCAGAGGAGCCAAACACTGCTGCATACATGTGCAGGTTCCTATACTTTCTACATAAGAAGGTTTTTTTTCCCTGAAATAAAAGATTAGCTTTAAGCAGTAAAAAAAAAAAAAATAGCAGTGGATACATAGAAGAAAAAATGCATACAACTGTAAACATACTGAGACAAGGAAAAAGAAGCAGTGAGACCTGATAGAGATCACTTGCATAGGATTCCTGTGTGAGGAAGCGTTTAAGACAACTCCTTTGCTGGAAACAATTTCTGGTTTTGGCACACCTCCTGTTACTGTGCCCACCTAACCAATGTAGATCTTGTGCAGGGTCGGACTGACAACTCATGTGGCCCCCAGGCAACAGGAAATCATGGGGCCCCTGTGTCCTCACACGAGGGTCGGTTTAATACGGCCCTCCATGTCAGTGTGTCAGTGTGTCTTATGGAGCGAATATGGAGCGGCCGGTCCGGTATTTCCACCGCGGCCGTGTCAGAATACCGGGCCGGCCGCTCAGCTCTGCAGCGGGACCTTACCTGTTCCTCTATCCAGCGGCGCGCTGTCTTCCCGGCTTCTGTAGTGTGGGCGCTGGGCATGACAGCCGGGTGCCAAGTGCGCATGCGCAAGAAGCGGTGCTTTTTGTGAATGGTAAGGCGGTACCTGGGACACATGACAGATCCCAGAAGCCGCCGGACCAATCACAAAGCGCAAGTGCTTCTCGCTCATGCGCACTGGGCACCCGGCTGTCATGCCGAGCGCCATTACAGAAGCCGGGAAGACAGCGCGCGGCTGGATCGAGGAACAGGTAAGATCAAAGAACAACTGCGGAAGTAAGAGCGGGTACCTGTCAAATTCAGGTACCCGCTCCCCACCTCCCCAAAGGTCAGCAGTCATCTGTACTGTCCGCAGTCTCTGGTCATCCCTGTGCTGTCCGCAGTCTCTGGTCATCCCTGTGCTGTCCGCAGTCTCTGGTCATCCCTGTGCTGTCCGCAGTCTCTGGTCATCCCTGTGCTGTCCGCAGTCTCTGGTCATCCCTGTGCTGTCCGCAGTCTCTGGTCATCCCTGTGCTGTCCGCAGTCACTGGTCATCTCCTGTACTGTGTCTGCAGTCCATTAGTTCAGAATTTTTTTTTTCCTGTTTTCTGCCTCTAAAACCTAGGTGCGTCTTATGGTCAGGTGCATCTTATACGGCAAAAAATACGGTAACTTGGCATAAAATAATTTATTTGCATTTAATTGTAATGGTTCAAAGAATGTTTGGAAAAATGTTCGGCCCTCCACCATGTTCACTTCATCCAATCTGGCCCTCTTTGAAAAAAGTTTGGACATCCCTGCAGTACAGCAACGCTCAGGCAGGGGGTAGGGGCAGCAGCACAAGTAGCCATTCAGTTGAGCTGCAGTACAAGGAGCATGCTGATAGGACAGAGAGATGAGCTAATCAGTCTGCTGCTATTAATTTCACTGTCCAGCAGTGGGGAGGTGCACTCCGCAGAGGGTATTACTTAAGGCAGTAGTAAACTGTACAAACATGTTTTTTTAATTGGGTCTCCTGCAGATTTGTGCCATAATGTGCTAGTATGCACCACATAAGCTGTCAAGTACATCCATCTTCGCCCAGTGTGCTGCCTGGGTTTGCGCTCTCTGTACATTTGAATGGCTAAGCCACAATGATGTCACTCCCATGCATATAATCAGGAGTCACCATTGCAGCAAGGCATTTTCTGCATTCAGGGCACACCCAGTGTGCCCTGAATGCAGAGTGCATTGTGCATGCTCCAGTGATGTCGTCAGCTGGAGCTGATGTAAATATCTACTAAATGGGGCAAGTTTAGAAGATATTCACAGCACCTACAGGTAAAACTTACTATAGCCTTAGGGCAAAGTTTTACTGCAGAGTTTACTACCACTTTAACTGCAGTGGGAGAATTATGTCTCCTGCCCTGTCAGTTAGAAATAACCCACTCCACCATGTCTAACCCTCATGGGCCAGCATGCCTTTCCTTTACAGAAACAAAGCTACACCAACAATATGTCATCCCTTGAGCTGAGGTGGAGCAATAAAAAAAAAAAAAGGAAAAGTATATGGGCTTGCCCCCCCAAGGCTTGTACAAATAATATATTTTAGGTTGTAGACTGGTAGCCTTGAGTGAAGATCCTCTCCCATTCAGACCTCGATCACTGGAGCACCACAACATATTTTGTGTACTGCCCTTTCTGCAGCCCACAGGAAACTGTCCTAGCATGAAAGCGCGACTTGGTTGTGTTTGTCTACCAGGCCAAAAGTTCCCAATCCTTCCTGTACGTGATTCTGATTCTGGAGCAAACTATTCTAGTTTCTAACCCAATCACATCTACTCTAAAGCTAAAACTGAGACAAACAGGGATAGGTTTGTGATCGATAATGCTTGATGTAAACCATGTATGATTTTGTTCTTGTTTCAGGGGCTGAAGGAGCTTTGTTTGAACACTCAGTGGAAACTCCTTTAGTTAGAGCCGATTCATCAAAGCAACTCAGGTATGGATGTTTTGTAACACTGGTAATACTTTTACATATGGGGGATTGCACTACTTTGGTGTGCAAACAGTTTTGGGGCCTATGTTGACAGGCTTTTGTTCACTTCAAATGGGTTTTGTACCCACTTGAAACAGGTCAGAAGGAGGTCAACTGAAGGTTAAATATACCTGTCAATGAATTCCTAATGATCTTAGAATGTCTCCAACTGATGCCATTGACACAAAGCCCTTATACAGCTAAGAAAGAAAGAAAGCACCACAAACAAAGATAATTTGATAGTTACAAAATTTGAGTATTCAATAATACATACAGTACACCCCAGCCCATAAAAAATACTCAGAAAACAAACCCACTTGCATATCACAATAGGGTACCCAGAATAAACAGTAAACTGCCTCTTTAATGCATACGCTGACAAAAAATAAAGACTCAGCTTTTAGAGCCTAGCAATTACAGATTTGATGAATAAACATAGTCATTTTCATGCTCAGTAATTTGTAATAGTATGCGTGTAGAGTAAAAGAATATCAGAACTGAGCTTAAGTAAAAACATGGATGCATTGGTTAGGGAAGAAGTCAATGCAAACCCCAGGGAAGCAAATTATATACATAGATTATCCAGTAAACCAACAAACCAATGCTACACCGAATATACTAGAGGAGCCACATTGTCAGGAGTAACATTGGAAATAATTAAAATCAAATATTTAGTGCTCCTGCCACTCCTGGACAGATGCTACATAAGTGTGTAACACTGTTCAAATAACATAGGTAGTTAGGTGACCAAAGAATAAAAATGGTGTTGCCTGATACCACTAACCTACACTGGACAGGATTCGATCCAAAAGTCATTGTGATTCATATACTTACTGTTTGGCAATACTTAAGAATCTTATGTAGATGAGAAATGTAGATAAAGAGAAGGAGGGTATTGGAGACCGTGTGTATACAACCTTTGGTGCCCCGAGTTTGGTTTTTTCTTCCAAACCCATTTTTTGAAATTCAGCTGCAGCTGTCAATCAGCAGAGAGTCCTGCTTTCAGAATACAATGTCCCAGCCAGGGGGATTCCTCAATCCACTTTGCTTGTGTAGATGAAAGAATCTTTTAATTTTTTTTTTCCATTCAGTTATTTAAACCATCAATGACCAGTTTGGCATGATGAATGGGTTCTGGATGGGAGATATGAGTCTCCTTGGTTCAGGTTGTGGTCCCTTTTTAGGGGGACGATAAGACATTTTTGGAGTACTCAGAGGTTCTCACCCATGCAGAGTGAGGGGTTCCAGATTGATTGGTTAGAAAGGTGAAAACTAATTTACAGTTTTCTCACTATTGGTAAGTCCTAATATGGAACCTGGAATTCAAAGGACCTGAGAGATTTATGGGTAGGAAAAACCCTCCAAACCTGACTACAAGTATCTTGGGCCTGTAAGGGTTAACACGCCTTTGAGAGGAGCTGGAAAGCAAAAAGGAAGCAGTCAGCAGGTGTCTGTGGGGTGTGAGGCAGAGCAGGTCGTGCTTATGAAGAAGAGCTGTATTCTGTTAATTTGCTGGCTGTGGTGAACTTTTCTGTGGACCCCTCAAAGTAGATGAGGACTTTATAGCCCTGAAAAGGGACAAGTTTACTGCCAGTAGGCCGAAGGTTTATGTATGGAGTTTATGGGCTGTTTGTGTTTTTGTATGCTAAAGAAAAAACATTTTTTGTTTGTTCATTTTGGAAAAATAAAAGAGACGTTGCTTTTACAAAGTCTGCTGGCTGGTGATCTGGAACCCCAGAATATTACAGTGTGTTACATATAAATAAGATACCCATAATTGTAGCCTAATGGCAATAGCCACATGGCATGGCATATGTTAGAACCCCTAAAACAAGCCTGTATCGCCATATCACCTGTCCAAAATAGATATAGTATACAACCCTCTACTCAGGGGGTGCACCACTCTTCTCCTGATTTACAGGTTTTATTAGCATAGTTTATTTTTAGCAACAATTCATAACTGTAAGCATGAATATAACAGTTTATATTCATAATTATTTAAAAATTATTCATTCATTTTCATAATTATGTATTTCAATATGTCTATCTTGCTGATATATACAGTATCCATTGCTTTTGATTAGTGTTTTCATTTCTGTGACTTGGGTCACATGAGTTAGGGGCCCTTGGAAAGTTCCAGGACTGGATGGTCATACTATAATCTATTTTGGGCTGGCGGTATGGGATTTGGGATACAGGGTCATTTTTATTTTTTTTAATATGTGCCATAAGCTTTGTAGAGATTGACACTATGCTACTATGAATGTCTGATTTGTATTGAATGAATCTTGGTAATTAATATTAAATGCTATCCATGTTAAGTTCCCATATTGATCTCCCCTTTTGCACGTCCAGTGGTGTCGGTTCAATTTAGTATCTTTTGGTAAATCATCTGCAAATGATTGGGTGCTCAAATTAAAAAAGTTTTGCTTGGCAAATTGAAACATATACTTTAAAAAAATCACCCCTGTAGAATAAGTGGTGTGTTAAGAGACCAATGTTGTAAGACAATATCAGAACTTTGTGACCTGGGACATTGTTGACCATAAATCATCAATCCTCGTATGTATTTTTCTCAAGGTAAGAGTACTACACTTCGGGTTCATTGCTGGATGAAAAGATAATTAACATTATTTAAACATGATAAGTAGCATGACAACATCTGTACCTTGACAAATTCAATTATTTTCAGCAAGGCCCTTGGCTTTTTTTAATTATCCTACGAGTCATTGTATTATAAAAATAAGGTCAATGTGCTCTTTGCTTGTAATTCTCTATCGGATGTGTCAGTCATAAAACATTTGAAGTAGTCCTTTCAATTACCAGGCTTTGCTTTGAAGCTCCAACTATCTATTCTATGGTGATTGCAAACTCATTAGGTCATAATTATATTTACAGTGCAGGTGATATTTGCCAGGTTTGTCAGTTATTTATTAGAGCATGTGCTCTGAAAGTATTATGGTTACATTGATACTTAAAGGGAAATTCGCATTTTATTATAAGTGAGCACCTATTAAGTTATCATTGCAGTGTTTACCTGCAAGTCATTTTAAATGTAATTTTTAGAAGTTTGTTTTCTATTAAATAATTTTATTGTATTCATTATAGAGATTTGTAATAAGCCGCTAGAGGCAGCTATATTCGACTCTCTCAGCTCTTCAGATATGCTATTAGTCAGACAGGGAATGCTTTGTTGTCAGTGAGCTAGCTGACCCATAGAGATGCATGTGGGAATGAGCAGTATAGCACAGTCCTTGCTGAAAAACAGGAAAAAGAGTCTATATGTAATAAGCAAATATGGTTGCCCCCATATACATTTGTAGCTCCAAGCAACACAGTAAAATACATATAACTGGGAAATTATTTGTGGATACACAATGCTTTTAACTAGCCTCTTAGTGTTGCCTATGCCACTGAAGACTATAAGGAAG